GGAGGGGGGTTGGGTGATGGGGGGATGAACGGTGGGGGCAGCGGTAAAGGTAAAGGTAGGGATACGGCACGTGGAAAGGAGAGGGATGATGATGAGGAGGCGGAGGAGGAGGAGGAGGAGGAGGAGGAGGAGGAAGGGAAGGCCCGAGGGTTATGAGAGTAATCTGGTACATGGGACTGGAACAGTGGAGTATAGGGTCGGGCGTTGGGTTGGGGAGAGGTTTGAGGTTGGGACAGGTCCCCTCGCTGACCGGGGGGGCCTGGAAGGCAGTCCTCTCCTCTCCCTCGCACATACACATCTGACGGACCTTTCCCCTTTCCTACCCCCCCTTTCCGTACCTGCAGGACATGTACAGGTACGACATAATCGTATGTGTGTAATGGGTGAAGCGATACACAGGTAAAGGCCGTACGGCGGTACGGAAAGGCATATCATGGCTGTGCTCGCCCGTACTGGGCCCCCTAGTCCGTTCTTCGTCCGCGGTTTGGGAAGTAGTGGTGGGGTGGGGCGGGTGCTGGAGTGGAACAGTTTAGGAATGAGGACGTCGGTGGGAGACGGAGGAGGAGCTGATGGCGCTGGAGGAGAGTTGAAGGGCAAGACCCCGACCCTGACCAGTGTCAGTGACCAGTGTGACCAGTGTCTTCCTACGTGCTTGGCTGCCTAGCGAGGCGGGCCGCCTAGCGAGACGGGCCGCCTAGCGAGACGGGCCGCCTAGCGAGACGGGCCGCCTAGCGAGACGGGCCGCCTAGCGAGACGGGCCGCCTAGCGAGACGGGCCGCCTAGCGAGACGGGCCGCCTAGCGAGGCGGGCCGCCTAGCGAGACGGGCCGCCTAGCGAGACGGGCCGCCTAGCGAGACGGGCCGCCTAGCGAGACGGGCCGCCTAGCGAGACGGGCCGCCTAGCGAGACGGGCCGCCTAGCGAGACGGGCCGCCTAGCGAGGCGGGCCGCCTAGCGAGACGGGCCGCCTAGCGAGACGGGCCGCCTAGCGAGACGGGCCGCCTAGCGAGACGGGCCGCCTAGCGAGACGGGCCGCCTAGCGAGACGGGCCGCCTAGCGAGACGGGCCGCCTAGCGAGGCGGGCCGCCTAGCGAGGCGGGCCGCCTAGCGAGGCGGGCCGCCTAGCGAGACGGGCCGCCTAGCGAGACGGGCTGCCGTGATTTCCCCTCCGTCCATTTCTCCCCCGTCTCCCCCTCACCCGCTTCGTACCCCCTTCCCTTCCCCCCTGGGGCTGCCCTGCTGTCCTCATGCCACGTAAGGTTTTCATACCTCCCATTACTTCCTCTTACCTCCTTCTTCACTCCCCTTACCTCCCCTACTTTACCTCCCCTACTTTACCTCCCCTACTTTACCTCCCCTACCTTACCTCCCCTACTTTACCTCCCCTACTTTACCTCCCCTACCTTACCTCCCCTACCTTACCTCCCCTACTTTACCTCCCCTACCTACCTCCCCTACCTTATCTCCCCTACTGGCCCTCACGTATGTACGGCAACAGCTTCGGTGTGTTGTTGTGGGTGTTGGTGACGGGGGATCACCCCTGGAGCGGCTTCCAGATGGTGGAGGTGGCGTACAAGGGTAGGAGGCGTGAGGGAAGGGGGTTAGAGGGGCGGGATGTGTGTGTGTGTATTGGGGGGGGGGCCCGGGCGAACGATGGATGGGGTTTTCAAAAAGGGGTTTGGACGAGGCGAATAGCGCCGGGAGTGTGAAGGGGGATGGGGAAAGCAACGAGGTTAAGGGCGGGAAGGGTAACCCTGGGTGGGTTGTGGCGGGATGGAGGTGGTCACCCGAACCCCCCTCTCCAGGGGTTTACGGCAGCTGCGCGGTGTCGCTGCCAAGTCGCTATCTTTACCTGCCGAACTCCCTATCCCCGTACCTCCCCACCTCCCCGTATTCCCAACCCGCCGATTCCCTCTCCCCTCTCGCACCTCTCCCCTCTCGCACCCTCTCCCCCGCCCGCCCAGTGACCATCAACCGGGAGCGGCTGCCCAGCACCCGCATTTCCCCCGCCCGCTGCCCGCCCGCGCTGAGGGCCCTGATGGAGCAGTGCTGGGAGTACGAGCCGCGCAGGAGACCTGCTGCGGCGGAGGCGGCCAAGGTGCTGCAGGGCCTGCTGCTGCTGCTGCAGGAACGGGAATGACGGGAAGGTCAACGATAACAATATATATATATATATATATACTGATGATAGTAATGATAATGATGATAATATTATCATGAATGGCGTTGAGGAAGAGGAGCAGCATCGAGCGAAGCAAATTGTTTGAAAAGGAGGAGGAGGGGGAGGAGGTGGTGGAAGGGCACCAGCACCATTTTATGGCTGGATAGGAGAGCAGCATCACTAGTATTATATATGTATGCCTAATGTTGCGCAGCGGAGTGCAAATGGTTGCGGGCGAGGGGATGGTGTTGGTGTCTCTCTCGGCGGGTTTATTATCAGCCGCTGCTGCTGCTGCTGCTGCTGCTGGAACCGGAGATGTCTGGAGTGGCAAGATCCGGAGATGTCTGTGGGGCTGATCGGATCTGGATCTGCATCCGGAATTGGAACCTGTATCAGTCGTGTATGTCATGACACATCGAAAGCAGTAATTACTCCATGATGGATGTCCAGGCGTTATTCACAAAGCTCGGAGAAATAGAAAATAATTATGTCTGCAATGTATTACTCCAATGCCAGAACGCAAATGGTACTCTGTGTGTGTTTGTGTGTGTACGTGATGACGTGTATATGCCGCCGCCGCCGCCGCCGCCATACCAATGGCGGTGCTGTTGTTCAGGGTGTTGTCCGTCAGGCTGCATTCACGCTACCGACATGTATGGTGTCACACACATACATACAGACAGACAGACGTACAGAGGCGCACACACAGAGACATGTATTATGGGTATATGTGCACACTCAGTGCTCAGCAGTGCAAGAAGGTGGCTGGGAGGATGAATGGCTGGAGGCGGCATATTTGGACGCCGTACAGCTTGCTCGTGCCTTAGAGTGAGTGGGTTAACTATCCTGAATGTTTTTATTGCTGTTATGAGTTGCGGGCTTTGATAATTTAACCTATCTAGGGGCTTGCTGGTGGTGCCCAGAACTGCTGGTGCGTGTGTGTGTATTTATGTATGTGTGTATGTGTGTCGGACGGTATACATACACACAGATCCCGGGATCGAGACCTATGAAGATCGAAAATCCTTCCGATGGTGGAAAGTATCGCGCCCCTAGTTGATGGACGGTGGTGATCTGGGATAAAGTTAACCTGCGAGCCGACCAGGAATGGAGTTGGGCCGCTGTCGACCCGGCAGATTCCGTTGGATGCTGGTGGTGGGTGCGGAACCTAAGGGTGCGATCCGCTGAGAAGTTGACTAGGGTGACTGGATGAGGGTGCCCCGAAATACCGGGGAAGGCAGGGTTTCGCAGGGTAGCTGCCACGGGTGAAGATATACCCCCCTGTTTCACACATCATACACACACACATACATACGCGCACATACAGACACGACTCTCTTTTTGCCGCTAAAGTGACCACTCACTTAGACTCAAATTGGGAGACATACGGCACTTGGGGTTTTAGCACAGGAGTTGAAAATCTTATCCAAAAAAGATTGGGAGAGTGCGTGTGTGGTTTTATGCAGCACTTTTTCCTCTTTTGGCACTGCTCCATGCTCTTGGCGGATTCGACGGATTAGGTTTCGTTGCAATTTCCTAGGATGGATTTGCTATTTCCTGGAAATAGAAGAGCGGATTTTTCATTCGATATCTGGCTGTGTTTAATAACTAGGCAGCACTGCATGTATACGCACTCACACTCACACACACGCTCACACGCTCACTCGCACTCACACACACATGCTCACACTCTCCCTTGCGTTCCCACCCGCCACCCTCGGTCATTCGGTCGGTCGGTCGGTCGGTTGGTCTCCTCATCCTTCCTCCTTCTAGTCATTGGCAGTTGCCTTGGGAAACATATTTGATGTATGAGACGTTGCTTACTTAGGGCACATTGCGGCCATCCGACGGTCATGCGCACACGTGGCAGCCATGCTTGCCAGTCGCCTAGGCATGGCCCATACGACCAAGCATTGGTCTCTATATATAATTTAAAGTTAATGTTGGCGGGAACTTACGTGTATAAAGTAAGTGGGGGGTTAAGCAGGCAGGGCTCCCAGGTGGCTGGGCAGGCAAATGAACTTCAGCCGTGTCCGTTACTTACATGTAAACGCGGGAGCAGAGTTCCATGTTCGTGTAAAGCGTTCGTTCGTTCGTCCGTCGCGTTCGTTCGTTGGTCCGTCCGCGACGGATTCGAACCGAATGGAGAGGATGCACGCTCGCATGAATCGCTGGGAAGCCGCAGGCGAACAACGTCGAAGCGGACATGCGTGTGTTCATATGTGATTGGATGTGGTGCGTGTGTGTGTGAGGTGTGTTGTTTTGTGTGGTTTGTGGTGTGTTGTTTTGTGTGGTGTAGGGCGAGGATGGACCGCACTAGCTGAGCACAAGTTAGGAAGTTGCCGCCCTGCGTGCGACCGTCTCAAGTCTAAACGATGATCTACTCCTTCCAAGGACGTGTTTGCTCTGCCTGCTTGTTGTTAATTCTCGGGCTTCGGGCTTTGTATGAATGAGCCTATTGTTATGCGCACATGTTAACATCTTTTGGCTCAATATCATACGTAGACATCGTTTCACGAGGCATGTCCTGCTTATTGGGTTGTGCTTCATAGCTGTGAAAGCCCCTGGTATTTATGGCATTGAAGGTCTCTGCTTCGCTGCCAGTGTGGATGGTGATCCATTGGATCACCTCTCTCAACGTGCATTTTATCTTCGATCGCCCCACAGTCGCATCTGCAGATGCTTGAATCAAGGTGTTTAGACGCAGTATCCCTGCTTAAACTCTTCGTATGGCACGATACTGCAGAAATGGCCAGGATGCGCAGCTTCGTCAGCCTGCTTTTTATGTTTCAAGTTTTACTTCGTTTGATCATATACCCGCTGTAAAATTGCATTGGTTTTTTTACGCACTTGCATTGCCATCGCCTCGCGCCTGTATGGCACTGTGTGTTTCCGTGTCACGGCACCCTTCTATTAGGATTGGGCCCCCCAGCCAAAATTAAGGTTTTACCGAATCAGTCACACGATAACAGCTCCACGATAAGGATTACGACACGACCAAGAGGATTAGGATTGGGACCCCAGCCTCAGAGTTAGGATTGCGGTCCGGCCCCAGGATTAGGATTGGGAGACCCCCCCAGGATTGGGATTGGGACCCGGCCACAGGATTAGGATTAGAACCCCGACCCTAGGATATGGATTAGACCACCACTCTGGATTAGGGATTAGAAGTGGTCCACCCCTGTTGAGATTAGAGGATTGCTGACCGGTACCCACCCCCTGGATTAGAGGATTAGGACCACTTTGCACCCCTCTGGGAGAAACGCCAGATGCCGGTCGTTTGTGGTCTCTTCACTGTTCCGCCTCGCTCATCACCACAGCAAGAGCCGCAGAGTTCACTGCCCATTCTCATGGCCTTGGATTTCTTGCGGTCTCTTGGGCAACATGCAGGATGATGGACGGAGGAGGGCACCGCGTAGAAGCTTGGCGGGCTTCTTCGTTCGCGCTTGCCCCAAGCGAGCGCGCGCGCGAAATGCTACATTTCTTCGCGCCGTCTGCCTTGATATTAATCATTTTAAATATATATGTTAGAGATATTAGAGCTATATTATTTAACCATATTATAAGTGTAGGGAGTTGGTAGTGAGCCAACCTTCCTTTTGGATCCTGTACATAACGATACCCCATACGGCCCACCTTTTAACCTTCCTGGATCAATCTTATAAGTTGAGCCTCAGAGATTATAACATGCTCTGAAAGAAAGATGAGAAACGGAAGCAGCAGGGGCGATGCAAGAAAGTGGCCAACAGCAGTAACCGAAAGGAACAATGCGGGAAGCGAAGACCGCCGCAGCCGCAGCTGCGTTGTCCCGTAAAAAGGCGCCAGGCAGATCAGCACATAATAGACATGTTGAGTAAAAGTTTAAAAAGCCAACCATAACTAGCGGTGTGTACCCCCTCGCTCGGCAAGAGCCTACCTAAGCCTACCTTACCAGTGCATACCTAAACTTCCAGCATAACTCTAAAAACCACAACAGAGAACTCGCGCGCAGAAAACATGTTCATAGGAGATACACTTTACGTACAGCGCAGTACATCAGGAAGGCATTGAAGTGCCGTAAACGAACCATTCGCCGATTTCAAATTAAACTACACTTTTCTTCTTCTCTGTTAGAAAGTTAAATAATAAGTGTTCTGTTTAGAAAATATCTAATGAAGGCCTGTGTTTAAATGCGGAGTTTTTGTAACACAAAAACTCCGCATTTAAACATAGTGGCGCTCCTCCATGCATCGGCATTTTTTCGTAGGCTGCAGCTGCATGCTAAGGAGCCTGCAACGTGAGTATATAAAACATATTTTTCGCATCGGCGTGATCCATGAAGGCAATATGCATGTATGTCGTGTCTTCTTTAGGGCAGGGCGGGTGGAGATAAAAGCTGCAGCGCCTGCTGTTTGAAATAAATGTTGGCTATGCAGCTGATGAGTTTTGAATTGGATCTAGATCACAGTACGATAGTAGGGCGTGTGAGAGTCAGAGCGCTACCCAGGACGCATGGGGCTTGGCCGGTAGTCATTGCCCCTGTCGCGAAGCACCGCATGTATCACTAAAAGGATTAGCGCACCGTCGCCGAATTCATCGAAGAAGGATATACGGCAATGGAGCCATATGTACGGCAAAGCCGTACTGCGTTGCAAGGCCAACAACTCCCAAGCGACAGCGCATAAACATGCACGAACCTTAAAGGATAATCGTACTAATAATAATGTCAATAACGCGCCTTCTAACGTTAGTCACATGAATTCCTCTAAACGGCGGCGGGCTGTCCGACAGCCAACAAACCTCATCCGTACCGCCATCCAAATAGTAGCGTCTGACTGTCTAGCCAGAGGAGTACACATCGGATGGGAAGCAACCGGGAGTGCAAATGGCTAAGCATAAGCACTGGATGGGGCTGCCCATTCCGGGAGCCACAGCCGTCATGTGGCCAACAGATGCTAACGTTTTCATTCCTCGTTTCGCACATCGCAAGCTAATGCAGT